ATTATGTTTGTAAACAAGTTTATTTTGATGATAATAATGATAAACTTAATATTTCATTAAATTTTACATTAGGTGAAGAATATTTTAATCGAAATTGGCCTCTTATTGATCAACGTTTAACACAAGCAGGTCGTCGACTTGCATCATTGCTTAATCAATTAGCTAAAAATCAATCATCAAGAAAACTTCCACCAGATACTCAAGCACTTATTATTGTCTTATGTATTGGTTTATCTATTGTTATTTTTGCTGCACTAAGTGTTTATATATATAAACGAAAAAACAATACGAAACCTGATATATTGATGTGTGATTAGTCTTATTATTCTTTGTTAAATAAATAAAAGAGAATTATTAGAACTTAAATATTATTGTTTTTTCATAAATTTAATTCCGAACTTAGAGTAATATAAGACTTCAAAATTAATGAATGCATTTATAACTAATAGAAAAAAAAGAGCATAGAAGTATATATATATTTAGACAGATGATAATAAGATATACGTTAAAGTTAATTCTTGTCCTACAACTTCAATTTTAAATACAGTTATTACACTTCAAGCTATATCTCTCTTAGACTAGGCTCATTTGAAAGAGATCTTATCGCGATGGATGAGAAATATGTTGTTTTTTTCTTTAATTCAATTTAATTTTTAGGATCTTCAAAGTCTTGTAGAAAATCTATGGTTGTTTTGATGTTAAAATTCAAATATAAAATCCTTCATCTATCATCTGAAAGAGAATTTATCGAAGAAAAAATAAGCAGCTCACTAGAACAAATTATATTAAACACAATTTCTGCAAAAATCAATGTTGAAAATTTTGTATATTTCTCTGAAGAACTCTTTAACATGATCATCAAATATAATTATATTAAGTACCAATTAAAAATTTATCGTAAGTCTTATCAAGTGATTTTTTGACTACATGTTGAAACATGTAACAGTGAAGAATATTTCACCAATATGTAAAATCAACAAAGCTTCTCTTCTTCCTTCAAAAAGAAAAGTTCAAAGTAGTTTCTTCATATTTTTCGAAATAAATGTAGATATCCCATCGATATTTCAAATCGTCCTATGATGATAAAGTTTCTATGACCCCCCTTTGTTTTTTCTTTGAAACTACTTTGCATTTTTGCCTCAAGCGATATCAAAATGAAAGTTTCCCTCTATGCATTAGCGAACTAGTATCATCTATTCAGTGCAATATTTACTCAATAAGAAAAGAATAAATCAGTAATTAAAAACACAAGAATAAAAACTGCTACTCATATTCAAATCTAATAAGATGAACCACAGTTACATCTAAAAATTCGGCGTTCATTAAATTAAACATTTTACTCATATTTGATTCAAGATTTTGAATTTTACTGTTTTGTTGTTAACTTAAAAGTGTTTTACGACTAATGAACATCGTATCTTCATGTTATTTGCATTAATCATGAGTAAGCATATGTTAATACCCAAATTTTTCAATTTAAGATTTTGATGTTTTCGCTAGACTTATGTTACTGATTATTTTAATAGAACAATTGAATTCGATTAATAAACTTCGTGTAATAAATCTTGAGAAGAGAAGTTATTATTAAACTGCAAATAATTAGTAACATAGAATAAGAGTCGAGCATTTTTTTTTTCAACAACTAAATTAAAGTATAGCTTAATTGATTTTTCGTTAATCGTTAACATCAATACGAAAAATTAGCTATAGGTTAAATAAATATAAAAATACTGCATTCGGATTCTATGGTTAGGAAATATTTATACCACAAAACGAAAAAACTCGAATCTAGTGATAGTTTTTCAATATCTTCTTATTCTATATATTTCAGTTCGACGACATCGAATTTTATAAAACTTCACTAAAATCACTGGCAATCAATTATCATAAGCTGAGAAAACTTAAATTAAAAATTTCGAAAAAAAATTATTTATACACTCATATTCTTCGACCTAATGTCCGGAGAAAGAACATAGATTGGTATTATGATCATGAGTTCTATATGTGCTAGAAAATGTTTTGATCGAAATATTGTACTTTGAGGTTTTGGTAAGTTTCTTATTATGAATGATTAACCTAATGAAATATTAATAACTCGGGAAAAAAAAAGACATATGTATCCTTATCCTATTAGGTCTTTTTTCTTTCTCACAGGTTTATACTCATAGTGAAAATATAAGTATAAAAGCTCTGAATCATTGAGGAAAGTTTCCTTCTATATTTCTAATTTAGTTATTTACAACGCAATATAGTAACTTATCTAAAAGGAAAATACAAAAAAACAAAATTTCAAATTTTTGAGTAAATTTTTATACTGACTCATAGATAATATCAAGAGTGCTTATAACACTATTCTTGCATATTGCAATTATGAATATTAGTCACATAGACGCAATCATAAAGGACTTATTCAAATTTTTGACATAAACAAGACTCATTCGTATACACCTACACAATATTTTATCTTACAAAACATAATAAATCATAGCTGTCAACTTGTAAAAAAAAGAAAAAACTCTAATCATACCCATGATCATGTGTTTTAGTCGTTTTAATTTATCTTATTAAACATTACTGGTACATATGCTTGAACGTATCATTGACATATAATACGCATAATATGATCTTTTTTATTTTCTTTGTCATGAAAAAGAAAAAGACGATGTAAACACAATGTAAGTGATTACAGGTGATAAGATACAATAATCAAGCATTGTATTACATTATATAAACATAACATACAAAAAAGAGAAAGAAAAAAAAAAGAAATGTGGTATATTATGTCGGGTGTACTATTGTCATTATTTCAAAGTATAGCAAAGAAAAAAAAAGCGGCAAAGCAAGTGACTAATATTTGCCAATAATCAGTCCTTGATGTCGTTAAATTCTATTTTATGTGGTTTCAAACAAATACTTCCTACCATAATACCACCAGCATATGAACAATTAATTACTGGACAAGATTTAACTATTCGATTTCTTTCTGCTGAAGTTTGTTTTCATATTTTTTTTTTTTTGTTTTTTAATATTTCATATTTTTTTATAGAATTTACCAAAAATGGATCTCGTTGGTACAAGTGATACATATTTTATTGCAAAACTTGATGAAGAAATTTCATATACGCAAGTGTACAAAAATTTTTATATTCTAATTTATTGTTCTATTTTTAATAGATCAATGGTTGTAAGTAATACATTATCACCTGAATGGAATGATGAAGAATGGATTGTTCGAAATGTTCCATTAAATGCTAAACTTACTATAAATATTTATGATAAAGATGATGATTCACTTAGTGATGATCATATTGGTCAAGTTGAAATTACTGATTTACCAAATTATCAAGCACCATCTGAAGGTCATGAAATTTTAGGTTTATTAGATAGAAATAGAGGTCAATTTCATTTAACTATTCAATCAATAGAATCATCTGAATCCAGTAAAAAACTTCCACGTTATACATTCGATGGTCCTTGTACTTATAGTCGACATAATTCACCAACGGTTGGTTATTTAACTATGCTTAATCAAGATGCTATTTATTCAACATGGAAAATTCGTTTAAGACGAATATCTGTATTTTTTCCTTTATATGAACGTCAACAATGGAATCGAAAATATCGTATAGCACAAACATTATTTAGTGGTACTCCAAGATCAATAGCTAAACAACATGTATTTAAATTAGCACATAAAATACTTTATGGACGAACAATAAAAAATAATGAAAGTGGACGATTAAATAATGTTGATGATTTATGGAAATTAATTTTTTTTGATGATAAAACACAAAAAATACGTACATGTATTTATACATATATTATTGATGATAATACATGGAGATTTAGTGAAACAGGTATTGGATTTTTTACGGATTATGCAAGTAAACATGCATTACATGCTAATTGTTCAGAATATGTTCGTTATGCTGGTCAATTTCATCCACGTCCAAAATATGGATGGAATCGTTGTGATGATGAATGGGAATTAGTATTTGATAATTGGTCAGGAACATATGCACCACATGCAAATTTATTAAAAAATTTAAAAGAATTATTAGAATTTAATTTTCCTGGTTTAAATATAATTGTATATGATTTTAAAAATCCTTTATTACAAGAAAGTATGGATAATTTAAAATTATTTGAAGAACAAACTAAAAGAGATTCTATATGTGTTAGTAATTTAGTATTTAAACCAACTTTTAATTCAATAAAATAATTAGAATGGTTCTTGATTGTGAACAAAAAAAAGTTTAGGATTTCTTTCTTTATCGTGAATAATACTTTTTTTTTTTGTGAAATTGTTTTATCTTGAAATATAATAAATTATAAATTTAATAGACATCGTCGTCTGTTAAATTTTTGGGACTCAGTTTTCAACAATGATTTACAAAAACTGTTTCAAAATTTTACAAGAACAGCAAAGCAAAAACGTTTTGCTTAGTAAAAAAAAACGATGTCGTCAAGTTAACCATCTATGTACAGGTACAATAAGATAAACAATACTCTGCAATATAAATAATAAGAAAATAAAATTTGTAAAAGACTATACACTAACTTCAATAAACAATTCTATTTAAAGCACTACGAAACATAAAATAAATATTATTATCAATGAATCAGAAAGAATAGCAAAACAAAAAAAAAAATTTTATTATTCCGAGTATAGTTTTGCTTGACAAAAAAAAACATATATATAGGTCATCTGTTCTTCTGTTCTTTCTTTTTTCATATTGCACAATCTTTATGTAAGTACGATGTATTATTATTCATCAGTTTTTTTTTATGTTCGTCTACATAATACATGATGGAATGTATTTTTGATGCTGATACAAGTCCTTATTTACCAAAACAACTTGCATCTATAACAAAAAATTATGATACAGATTCATTTCATTATGATTATAAAACAAAATTATTAAATTGTAAACTTTTAACAAATAATCCATATCGATCATATTTTAAACAAGTTTATCCAACAATAATCAATGAAGATGAACTTACTGATGATATGTTAAATGTTTTAAAATCATATACAAATAGTCTTTCAAATAAATGTTATATAAAAACAAATTTAAATTTATTAAGTGAAAATTTAAATGAAATTGATTGGATTTATGTTAATAAATTACGTTCATTAATACGAGGTTTAATTCAAACAAATATAAAACATGTTTATTATCGTGGTTTAACATTAAGTGATATAGAAATTCAATATTATATTGATAAAAAAAATGAATATTATTATACAAATTCATTTACATCATTTACAACTGATCGTTTACTTGTTTATACAGGTAATACTTTATTAATTTTAAAAACTGAAAATTCTACTAATGAAGCAAAGAAAAATCTTGCAAATATATGGAAATGGAGTACATTTATAGAAGAAAAAGAAGCTTTGTTAGCTGTTGGAACAAAATTAAAAATTTTAAGTGTACATTATTTTGGTTGTAAATGGGAAATTGAAGTAGAATTAGCAGAAGATGATGAAGAATTCATTGAAGAAATAAATTAATCAAACATATATCATTTTTTTATTCATTTATTGCGACTATTTCAAAAAAAAAAGAATAATTATTCTTATTTGAGTGTTTTATCAAGAATGAATCAGTATGATTCATAATTTTATTGACATTGAATATTCTATCGAAATATAGATTCTCAATTTGATGTATTTAGGATTTAGATAAAAATCTTGAATAATTAATATACAAGGTCATATAAATCGTATACTGCTTTCATAGAAAATGAAAGTCATCGATCTGAAAGATTTGTAAAGTCGACTTTGTCTTCGTTAAATAAAGTGCATCGAATCGTTTAGTGATTAAGAAAAGATCTTTTCTTATTGGAAAAAAGGTAACCTTACTGGCCTAATCGAAGCAGAAAACAATAGAGAAAATAACGAGAATCAAGACCATTGTATTAGTCATTACAGTATACTAAGCTGATAAAATAATGAGAAAGATACAACGAAGTTTGAGTTACTAAAATCGCTCAATTCTTATGGCAATCGTAGTCTTAGTTATACCGATAAATTTTAAAGTAAAAGTGAACCAACAAGTCGAAGTTGTTATCTTTTTTTTTTCAAAAACTGAGAATGAGAAAGAATTGTAAATCTAAGTTTTGAATGGAAGAGAAAAAAAAACATTTAATCAAATCTAATACTCAAGATGGATGATATGAAATGAGTATATGCATGGATATAAAAGATATTACATCCACATCCAATACGAAAAAAGCTTACGTACGATTATAGATTTTCACTCTCTTCCAGAAATTCGAACAATCCAAAAAAATCGATTCTCTTCTTATTCGAACCGAACTTATTAACATAACATATCAAAAGACAGCTTTAAAAGCTGAACAAAATCAGACTAGTTCATTTTTTATTCGAAATAAACTATTGAGAACTAGCCATTTTTCTTACTAAAGAAATGTGTGATATTGGCAATGTTTTAGTAGCAGTCGGATCATGTTAAGATAGTCGAAGTTGATTTCATATATATATTGTACAGCTTTTTTTCATTCGTAAAATGGTAGAACATCGCAAACAAAATGTCAACATTTAAGAATAAAATAACCTTTTGTGTGAAAGAGTCATCGGCAGTATTCATGTGTGGACAGGAAACTTTTGCTTGCTCATTGTAAACTTCACGAAAGAAATCGTTGTTGCAATGATTGAACGAATGTTCGTTTTTATTGTGAACTGTTAGATCAGTCAAAAGTAGAATGCGAATGCAGAGATAGATGCTGTGATGTCAAAATGTTTCTATTCAGTGTGAAATGTTGACCTAATTTAATTTACATTAGCTGTCTCACTATTTTTTATTTTCTGTTCTGTGTTTTTCTTCACGACTCATATCATGAAATAAAGAAAAATAACTTTGTTTTTTATGTTTGGTATTCTCTATGTACATTGATACATAGAACATAGGTTGTCGCTTCAATTTATGTGTTACCTTTACCAGGTAAAACGTGTGTATAAAAAATATGCAACAGAAAAAAAACACAATTTCACTGTTTCATTTGTCTCATTAATGAAAATAAGGATTTGTTGAAAAATTTGTATTATTTCCATTGCCAGATATAGTTTCAATATGGGATATCACAAGGAGCATTGATTTATTCAGGTGTAGAAATCAATTTTTATGTTATGGTGCAATATCGATGACAAAATTAGAAAGCGGAAGAATATGGACCTGATATCTGTTTTTTTTTCATTTCATCCAAAATAAATGCTTTAGTCATGTTCACTTGTTTATCAAATTGCAAACATCACAAACCATTTTGAGTCTTTTCTCTCTCTATTTTAGACACGATGCAAATTGGCGTTCGAATACTTTTTACTGGCTTATTGTTAGCAGCTGTCCTTCATGGTCAAGGAGGAGGTGATGAAGGTGATAGAAGTGGCAGTAGTGATCATAAAAATGACGTTTGGGGTTACCCAAGAGAAAGTAAAATTTATATTCGTTTATCTTTGTAATCAGGTGTACAGTTAGCAAGGGATGGGGTATATTTCTTTCCAATGTTGAAAAATTATCGTTTTTTTTAACTTCACAGCCTTGAAAGATGCTCATTTTTACCTGATTAAAGACAAGAATTGATTCTGACTTCTTTTTCTAAAGTTGCGGCTCTTTCTTCAGTCGCGTCTAATTTTTTCTTTCAAACTACTAAAAACTAACTCATGAATTCAAAAATATTTTAACTTCTTCACTTTCTCTCTGATGTTCAAGTTTTACTTCCATCTCTGTAAGGCGTAATACTTTAATATCATTTAGCGTCATGCCTCATTAATTTAAAAAAAAAAAATTTTTGGGAGTATTTTCAATATGTTATCATATTCGATAATTATTGATGCTCATTAATTCGTTACAGGAGATAATTATGGTAGAAATTATCATAGAAATGAAGAAAAACCATGCGTGACTAGTGACTGCAGCGAAAAAATAAGCAACGTGGGTTACGTAATGGGATGGATATTCATTATACTTATCATGTGTTGCTGTCTTTGCGGCTGTTGTTTAGCGAGCTCATCAAAATCTACACCAACTACGAAGGGTATCAGCGTACCAACTGAGGAGACTTCAGTGGACAATGTAGATATTTTTCAGTCAGGAGTTTGGTCAAGTCGATATTATCAATACGAAAAGTGGCATGAGTCGCAAGAGTTTTTATTGTCGTTTTATCCTGAGTCATTTACAGTCAATGGACATGGATCAGACGAAATCGGTGTATACACTGTTACTGGCAAATATTCTACGAAAACTAATGAAATTGAGCTCATAAAAACATATCAATCAAACACAGGCGATTCTAATGAGAATTTAGGACATCAGGTTACCATTGAAGTTACGTGGAATCCGGATGAACGCCAGTTTACAGGTAAATGGTATGTGGATACAAGTATGTTTAGTGGTGAAGACGCATTTGAACTCAAGTTTGAAAGACCACTAGGACAATTAACAGACAAGAAAAACGACAATCCTTAACGAACGATGATTAAGAATATATCATTCAAAACCATAAACTTATAAACGTAAAGTGAATTTCGTCTATATTTTAGAAAAGATTCAGTTCTAATAATCTCCAGGTATATGCTTTAGATTTGACTTTGTGTTCACAATTGTTCTAGAGCCGATCTCTTTTTTGTCTTTCAATAAATAAATTTTTCACCGATGACTTTCAACATTTAAGCTCACACGGAAGCACTTTTTTTCAAGAATTTGAGAGCTCTAATACACAGTTCATTGAATGTCTGTGCAACTGTCTCATATTCAATGATCATACGGCTAATAAGGTAGGGCTGGTTGGATACTAGGATGAAATCTATTTTTCTTCTAAGCTTAGAGCATAAAAATGATCATTTTCGCTATTATTATCTCATTATGAATAGCAATCCAAAAGCATAAAAAGAAATTATGAAATAACTTTTTTATTACTGCGAAATGTTGCGATGAGCACTGTAAATCCGAATTCGGTCATTTCTTCATTGATTGCAACTTTTCATAAGTTTAATTGGTTAATGACTTGCGAAATCTGGAAATGAAAAAGTAAGTGAGAATGGACAATTTAAGATCGAGTAGAAGTGTATTGAATAAAAATCAAAGACTAATAAATGAAGTTTCGCTTATGTGAAGATGGTCTTTCCAATTGTAATCTTTCTCTGCTCAAAAAATTCGGTATTCATTTTCACTCAACTTCATTCTATAAAAGTGTCTTGAGAAGAATATTTTCGAATGAGTAATATATCAGTAATTGGCAAACAATAAAGAAAACTTTCATTTTATCAACGACAGAAGTCATGTATTCATGATGATTTAGCAGGAAAATTTCTTGACTAGTTTATTACTTTTTGAACTGTGACAATCTTCAATTGATAGAGTCTTGTAACTAGGTACACAATTTTGTGTGGTTCGCTTTCTTGGACTTTGATTGCTGAGATATTGAATGACTAATGAATTTTTTTGCTGGATTCTAGTTTTTGAGAAAAATCATTCTTTTGGAATATGAACTAAGGCTTTGTTCATATGAAATTCTTACTTAGAACATCTTCAAAAAACACTCAAGAGTTTTCGACAAAGTTTCTTTGATGTATGAATTTTTTGGTTGAAAAGTTCTGAAATTGCGTTTACGAATTATTTTAATTGAAGACTTTATGTGAACAACGTTTTAGGCCAACATGCAAAAATATCATTTTTCTTGAAAACTAGAACCTTGAAGAAATTCACGAAACAAATAATATTTGAGCAATCAAAGCCCAAGAAATCGAACTACTTAAGAGTATACGTCTACTAACTAGTTCATATCGATTAAACATAGACACAGTGTAAAAACGATTAGCAACCTCAAAAATGTTTTCATCTTAGTACACATATATACTTTGATTGCCGTTCAAGTCTCTGCGACAAAATTTGTCTGCTTCTATTGCTGTATCTCTATGCTTTCTTTTGAAGTAAATGAATATGATGAAGAATGTTGCCAATCTCAACCCACCTATATTACTCTCTCAACCATCATCGTTGAATTCCAAAATGAACTATAAATGATCGTTAGAGATGCTCGATAGCAAATTTTTATTTCATTCACATCATGCTAGATGGGGTACGTTTCCAGATTTTTCAACGATTTTTCACTAGTTTTGGCTGAAACTTTTCATAAGTTTGGTTAACAAGCCGTCTATCTCGATTTTAACTGTAAGATCAAATGATAAGAACGCGGATGAATAATCAAAAAAAAAAAACTCGATGTTTCGTTTTCTTTTGTCAGCCAAATAGTATTGTTGTAAGATGATGACTCATAGAGCTGATGATTCAATCACACGAGGTTTATTAACATTGCCATAAATGGGCATTATGTTGACACATAAAAATATTGAGAACAGACAAAAAAGGTAAAGCAAAGAATCGTCATTCAACAAAATTAAGAAGTATTTTAAACAGCGATTTTCATCTGTCACTTTTGCGCGTACTTCTATATAGCATGATTTTCTTCTTCGCTACATCATATGCATTTTTCATCTCTGTCATATGATTGATTCTTTCTCTCTCTGTTCTCTCTTAGGTATTTTCCTTAAATACACTTAGAAATCATGATATTCTAAGTATTGCTCATCAACAATACATGTAGTTAAGGATTTATTTTAATAAACAGTTTAAGTGTATTGGAACAGATATATTTTGTTACTGCTCGATAAAGGAAAGTTCTTTTAATTGGAACAATTTCACAACAAGCAGCGACAGATCTAAGTAAGAAGAGAACGGAATTTTTTTTGTTGCACGTTGTATTCTGATCAAACGATCGTATTTTCTAAAGGTTTTAGATTTTATTCGACATTGAAATTAATCTATAAATTAGCGAAAAATGGCTGGTACCACGATTAGATCCAACGTTTGGATGATTGATGTGATGAAAAACTACCTAATGGAAAACCTTCAAGCAACGGATGAAGAAATTGACTATCTAAGACATTTATGCGGACTTAAATCAAAACAGAGGGAATCTTCGAAAAATCTTCAAGGTGCTCGAAAGCCATCTATGATAATCGACGATTTTCTGTATCATGGCGATTTAGGACATGCTAATAATATCAATTTACTAAAGGAGCTTGACATTCAACATATTATTAACGTATGTGATTTTCCTTTGGACGAACAAATAGGTGAGAATTTTGACGTGTTATGGATCAAACTCAACGATGAACTCAGTTTCAATATTAGCCAACACTTTGACAAAACAAATAATTTTTTGGACACATGTAAATCTAAGCAGGAGAAAGTTCTTGTTCACTGTCAGATGGGTATTTCTCGTTCTTCGTCGATCGTTCTTGCTTATTTATTGAAGTAAGATTACTATTTGTTTCTGGAAACAGATCTTTGATTCAATATTTTAGGTACCATCATGACACCTTGCCAGACGCCTATGAACATTTGGTCACTCGTCGACGCATTGCTGCACCTAACTTTGGCTTTTTTATACAACTTATTCGATATGAGAAAGATCTATGTAATAGCAAAAACAACGATAAGAGACAATGTTCGATTGCACCACTCAGTATTGCAGTTGTTCCATTTAACGTTGAATCCGATGTCGCCGAAAACACGGAATAATTAAATATGTAGCGTTGAAATGTACTTGGAAAGATTTCTCGAAAATTTTCTCGTGACTTTTCTGCTTGACGTAAAATAAAATAAACTAACACATACATAATCAAGATTGTCCGAGCATTAGAGGTATGTATGGGTGTGCGTGTGCAGGTACGGTCAGTCGATAAAATTTCAGACGAAATATTTATTGAGTTGATAACCAAAAATAAGTACAATCTCATTAAAACTATCTTACATTCAAACTACAAAAGTTTAGCAAGTACTGTCTCAATGCGCTACCTTTATTTACACCCTACACAAACACAAATCCATGTTAAAAACGATAATGGATGTTATTTTACAGAAGATCAAAAAGCTTTGAAAAATGTTGTGCTACGGGAATCTCTGAGAACTTTTTTTAGCTTGGATTCTGTTTATGTAGATGTTTGTATGTTTAATATGGGAAATGGATGTGAGTGTAAAGACACAACACATAGTTGTCTGTAAGCGCATTCACTGACATCTGCACTCACCAATACTTAAGCTCAAACCTCACATTGTCACCACCCATATCATTCTATAGTCCGAGACACTTTTCTACAATAGAGAAGTTTCAAAAGTGATTTTTAACCTCACGTTTGTTGAAGTTCTTTAATTAGAAGAGTAGTTGAATACAGAGAAATAAAGCTTGGTAGCTTGATATTCAATAGTACACTTTATCAATTACATACTAATAACCTATATTACATGTCAAAATCACTTTATTGTAAAACACTGAATTCCAATCTCAACTTCAATTAGAACGTTAAATTAATGATGAAAACAAAAATTTACATAGAATGCCATTTTTTCTGAACTTTAACTATCAGAACTTTCAAGATTCCTAACAAACTATTAAGAGTTCGCTTTTGAAAAGTTTTTCTGAACGTTCTAGTTACACTACAAAAACAGTACAAATGAAATATATATCGTTGAATTCAAAATGAACACATTAAGATAATGAACGCAAATAGAAGCACATCAATAATGCCAAGAGAAAAGTGACTTTTTTAAAAAAATCTCTTATTGTATTTTATATTCTTTGAGTTTTATTCAGAATAGAGAAGAAAAATGGAAAAAACATTCGAATCCTGCTAAACAACACCATTCAATGGTTGCATTGAAAATATGGTTATAGTCGAAAATTTTACGCATGAGTTTTCGTTAAGCCTCTCTGATAATCACCCAAGTTCAGTCCTAGGACGGAGTCATTCATTAAAATTCAATTCGAATCAGTAAATCATACTTATAACAATCAATAGATAACAAATAACGACGGGTAGCTTTCGAATGATGGCATTACGACTAGCTTTACCAGTGACAGTTGTATCAATACTTGCATTGTTCGAATTTACAGTCGGTCGCCAAATGTCCATTAGTGAAGGCGCTGTGACATCGTTACGACCTAAACTACCCAATCCCCAATTCTCTTCTAACAGTTTTGGAAGTGAGTAATGATTGAATGTTCCTGATATATTGACTCCAGAATGTAAATAATCTGTTCCCCACATAAACGCTGGTATATGATTAGTTCGATCGGCATTATTATTATCTTCATCAAAAGTTACAATTAATAATGTTCCATTCATAAAAGCAGGATTGTTTAAATGAATATTCAACCAATTTTGTAAATAATTTCCTGCATAATTGAGATCAGTATCGTGAGCATTATTTTTATTGTTTGGTGTATAGAAGGAAAATTGAGGTAACTGTTTATTTGCTAAATCAATTTCCAATTGAGCTGCATTGACTATTTTTTCACATTCAGTTATATTGTTTCTCACTGTCGTACTGAACATAAATGGATTATGTCTTCGAACATATAAACTGTTCGAAAGCTCCATCTTATCGTTACAATTAGGACTTGTTGTTGTAGGAAGTGATGTATAATTTTCCTGATAACTTTTCCAGCTGACTTGAGCTCTGTTTAACAAGTCAATAATTGTCGTTTCACTTGTAGAAAAATAATTATTGTCTCTATGATTTAGTGTTGAGCCAGCGATCATAGAAATGTAATTTGGTTGAGACGGATGAGTGATTGCATACATGTTTGTGAACAAAGCAGAACTTCGAATAATAGGCTGCCAAGCAGAAGACCTTAATGTTTGTCTGTAATCATTGTTTTCCATGACCAAAATGAATATATGATCAAACAGTAAAGGAGTTTTGGCTGAAGCGGGACCCAATCTTGCTGTTTTTTTTATAATAGTATTATTAGCGCTGATTGCTGTTATTTGACATGTTATCAAACAAACAATTCCATATAATATACTGAATGTCAACCACAACATGTTTTTGAAAACTTATCTTTAAAATATAAAAACATATATAATAGATTACATTGCATACACCTTTAACATATAAATATTTTTTTTCGAGCAACAGAAAAATTATCCGAAAAATGCTCATATTGCATTTTATCGTATTAGTTCAATAAGAAATCGTGCTATTTTCATTGCAGAAAAGCAACAAACTACTCTACTAGCTGTATAAGCGTATTGTTCTAACTGTCCCTATGAAATAGAAGTATACAAAAGAATAATGTATTTTATGCTCTTTTAATGGAATTTTCCTCTCAGAGAAAAGATGACCGATGTTAGAAAAAAAAGCATTGCTAATTATGGAACGAACAAACATATGCATATTTTTCAAATTCATCGATGGTTTTCGAGAGATTTTTACTCGTGAAAAATCCTGAATTTAACATCATTTTAATGCTATGACAGTTATTACAAGTTAAGAAAAAAAGTAATGCGAATAACAACGTTAAATTTTCATCGAAGCTATATCATCGAAAATATAGTGTGATGATTGTGAAGTCTTTTTTTCACCTGAGTCTTCTGCAGAGTCACAAGGGCTAAGTTACTTGAAATTTCTACAAAGGTCAGGTTCTGCACTCTTCCAGAGGCTGTTAAGTAAAATTTTGAAACGTGTTATTTATTTTATACTTACTATAAAATGAGAAGTATTTGGAATATAAGTAGCGCACGACATATGTACTTCTTGTCCTGAAACATTTCATTTTTGTAAAACCAGTACTTGTAAAGAGGAATGGATAGATAAACTTAAATTATTCACTTTTCACTATGTATTCGATAAAAACAACAAGGCATTTCATCAGGTATGTTATATTCAAGTCATTGATCAATTTAATTTTTACTGAAAAACAGAATGAGAAGTTAACTCATCTAGTACTTTGTAAAAAGTTGGTAATTCTAATGAAACTAGAATGAAACTAATGGAATACTTCGATTTTTGTTAAAAAATCACAGGTCTACAATGAAGTGTTGTAAATGTAATGAAACTGATGTAATAATATTGATGTTTTACATATAATCAAGGTCATGGGATGAAAATCATCATTGAAATAAAGTTTTCTTTCATTTTTTACTTCATGGGCCTGTAGATGTTGCACTATCGAGTAGAGTAACTAAATAAGGGATGCAAGGATGTATGATGAAACTTCATGACAACATGCAAGATTAGCAAAACATATATGTGTTCTTGTATGTCTCAAAAAGAAACATTTGTTGTCATCGCAGTCTCTTCAGGGTACTTTGAATTCTTAGATCAACTTTGACTTTGACACTACCGCAGCTATGTTCACAATGCATTAAGAGAGTTGAATACAACTCATCTATATCGTTCCTTATGTACATCTTATTTGTCCGTATCAAATCGAAATCATGAAAAGTTCAAGTTGAATCTTGATAGAATCAACAGTGGAACACATGACATGCACTTTTTTGGACTTCTAAAAATAAACCGGCAAGCAATGAAATAAATAGAATGTGTCATAGTATCAAAATGAGTCCAACTCTAGTATAGGTTCAGAATGAACCTTGAACTCATGTTTTTTCATGAAGAAAAGTCTATCGATCCATGGAATTGGACTCAATGCATTCTTACACAACCAAATACAATAAATAAAATGCTGCATTTGCATGCATTCAAACTTATGCTTTTTATGTTTTCAAAATAAATTGTTTTTTGAAAAAGAAAAGCAAATTTGAAGATAATGCCTACAAATTTGCTTTTTCAAAAAAAATACAATCCTTTTCTTTTCAATGTAGAAAGTGCATATTTTAACGCGTTTTTAAGCATTGAAATATAGTGATGTCTGCCTTAGTAGTCATGTTGTACTAGCACTGTGCAACGTGTGACGACGGCATCTTTAATTGATGCTACATCTGAAAAGACTGATCGACTTAACCAGATCGAATGCCAGGTATAACTATGAATATATCATGCAAACTAGATCTATTCTCTATTTTCCTAATCGGAACTAAACTTACCCTATGAAGAATTGTGTTCATGACTGGCTGCTATAGACGACAATATATTTGCTACCATTGAATTACATAGTACTGCTTCAGTCAGTGCATACATTTAAATCCGCCCATAAGTGTAAATCAATATTGATAAAAAACATTCTCCTTCTGAGTTGCAAATGTTCGCCTACATTTAGACAAAAAGCATAAAACTATTCATGTCGTATGCATTTTAATTTACTCGATACTAAACTATTGACATATTGTGTTTTTTTTCAATATCAAATAGGATTAATAAAATCTGAATACGCCTTTATTAATTAAAGCAAATAGTTGTTTTGAGCTTTCATATTATAATAGACTACATCTTCATTAGACATCGAGTCAGAAAGGACTAGTCGATTATATTTGACATACATTCGTCTTCTTCAATCATTCTATCATCCTTTGATTTCCTATTGTATAAGTTTTTTTGCAAAGTATGAGGAGCAAATTTTTCTCTATGAAATCATGCATTCTGTTTTTTGAAAACCTTGTTGTTTAACATATCTGTGAAAGTTTCTCCGAGACCTACTTCGAAATATTTAATTCGTCCTCCGTAGGATAAATTCATTATTACGTTAATAACAATGAAGTAAGTCAATTATTGAATTGACGAATTGGTTTTTGAGGACTTTGCCAAAAAAATTACAACTTAAGTTAAAGTCATGCAGCTATATCAATTTTATAT